AGTCCCATGTGCCCTTCACGCAAATGATAATGCCGAACAATCAGGTCCGTAATTGGATTTCGACTGGGTAGAATGACCGGACGTTTTCTATCTTGCATTGCATCAAGGTTGTCCAACCGCCCTCCTACCTTTAAGAGTCCATCTTTCATCACTGGACACAGATTGTGCATAGAAGAACGCTTCAGCACACCCGTCCCAAAACTGTTTGCGTGCCTCAGTAGACCGTCAAATATGTCGGAGAATGCCTGCCGCTGGACGTAGCGCAATAGTGCCGACTCGGCGACTTCCAACTCACGTATATTCAAACTTCCATACAACAATGTCTTCGTATTTGAAATGTCTGTCTTCAATAGAATAAATCTTTGGAAGCGCAACAACCATGCGGAGGCACGTTTGAGTTTCGTCCATGACGAATAGTAAGAAATTAACTTGTCTAAAGGGTGGATTGCAGACGTCGTGATCATGACAGTCGCTTGTAACTGGTAACTGGGTAGAATGACCGGACGTTTTCTATCTTGCGTTGCATCAAGGTTGTCCAACCGCCCTCCTACCTTTAAGAGTCCATCCTTCATCACTGGACACAGATTGTGCATAGAAGAACGCTTCAGCACACCCGTCCCAAAACTGTTTGCGTGCCTCAGTAGACCGTCAAATATGTCGGAGAATGCCTGCCGCTGGACGTAGCGCAATAGTGCCGACTCGGCGACTTCCAACTCACGTATATTCAAACTTCCATACAACAATGTCTTCGTATTTGAAATGTCTGTCTTCAATAGAATAAATCTTTGGAAGCGCAACAACCATGCGGAGGCACGTTTGAGTTTCGTCCATGACGAATAGTAAGAAATTAACTTGTCTAAAGGGTGGATTACAGACGTCGTGGTCATGACAGTCGCTTGTACCTTGGTCTCTATATAAGTTGAATCGTCCGCTGTCCAATGCATCTCCCCACGGGGCCAATGAGCGATTGACTTTTGCAAAAAGTTCGGACCTTGCAGCCATCTACAAAGATTGATGTTATCTCTCCCGTTGATTCCTCTAGATGCCAAGTCTGCGGGATTTTCACCTGTGGGCACATATCTCCACTGGTCCACCTTCGTGTTTTCATGTATGAACCCTA